AACAGTCGAGCCAACGCTGACTATCCGTGGAGCAATAGATGTAAATATTAGAAACCAGAGAGCCTTCCAGAGAGCCTTCCGCGATTTTGAGAGGATCAGAGGAGGAGACTTCTGCGATTTTGAGAGGAGCGATTTTGAGAGGAGCTCAGGAGCGAAAGACAGCCGCACCCCAAAACTTTCGAGACGGGAATGGGAGCGGATTGTTAGGGTTTTAACTAATATCCTATACATATATAATATTTATATAAGTTATAGTAAATTAGTAATATAATATTCTTAATATTTTTTTTATATATTATAATTTATAGGAACAATTTTTTAAAATATGATAATTTATTTTTTTTTAAAATTTAATTAATTATATTTTATAATATTTAATTTTATGAATATGTATTATGTATATTAATATATATTTGTTTTCGAGCTAATTCGAGCCGAACACGAGCGAACAAACTTTTGTTCGTGTTCAGCTCGTTTACATTTCGAGCTTGAAAATTTGTTCGTGTTCGGCTCGTTAGGCTTAACGAACGAGCCGAACACGAGCTGCTTAACGAGCCGAACACGAGCTGTTCGCGAACAACGAGCCAAATTGACAGCCCTAATTTGCACGTCACCTGGTGGTAATCTGTGTTTTGTCACCATCAGTTTATTATTATTATTATTACTATTTGTTTCCATGTTTATGGTTTTTTTAAGGTCTTTACTTATTTAATATTTACCATTCGTATACCTTGTTTTCTTAATGTCAGGATGTCTTATTCACATGATTACGAACTCTTTAAGCGGATTGATGACCCTTCTGGAAAGGAAAAATATGTTATTATAGCCAGATTTCCTCTAAGGCCAACAATTGAAGAAATTAATGATGCATTTGAAGGAAAAATAAGGTATTTCAGCTTAGGAACAATAGAAGCTATGCTTCATTTGCTTTAGTTTCTGTCTTTGATTAAATCTTTTGATTTGTTCTTAAAGCAGAAGAAGCAAAGAAAAATGGGCATCAGGACTATGGTATGAGCACATCATTGAACTTATTTTTGCGCCTATAAAGTTAAAATTTAAGTAGATTACGTAAATCTTTTCTTTTCTTTAGGTCCTTCTTTGGTTAATGCCAGATTGAAGAGGCTTATCTTTGAAGAGGATTATCTCACAATTATGAATGAAATCTCTGGGACGAAGGTGCGTCCAGACTATGTCCTGCATCAGAAATACCTTGTCTTTTATTTCTTTAGTGAATCAACAGTAATTTTATTACATAACATTAGTCTATTTCCGTTTGCATTTGACCTGACAACATGGAGTCACAACTCTATTATAAACTGTTATGTTTATTTATTGGGATCAGAAAAAATCTTTGACGTGGCAAAAGATAATGTTAAATTGAGAAATGGCACACTCTATCCAAATTTTGCCAAAGAGGATATCATTTTATTATGTTAGCATTTATGTTGATGTAGCAGTTTTCAGCTTGAAAATCTCATATTGTCTTATCATCATCGTTGAATCTAGATTTGTCCAGGAGATATGCCCAAGGAATAGAGCATTTGAACCAAGGGAAAAGAATGGAAAACAGAGGGAGAGGAGTGCACAGTGACTTATCTACTTTGTCTAGATTTTTTCCAGGAGATATGCCCTTTTTTTATACTCGAATATTTTAGGTATATGAGAGAAAGGAGCGGGCCCCAAATCTCTTACATGAAAAAATCTCCCTATTTATAATAGAGGGAGTGAAATAAGGGAAAATTATATTTTCAACCCCCCTTTAATGAGGCTTGTATAGATTATTCTAGGAATTATACCTTTGTTAGCTCAGAGTCTTGCTATCCTTTGGCTCGGTCGTCTGGTCCGACGAGATAAGACGATTTGTGTTGTTGGTTGGCTAGATGGATGGGGTTCATTGGCCAGTTGACCTTTCAGGCAGGGACGGCCGGCTGGATTTCTGAAGATAGTCGACAAGATTGATCCGATCAGTTAATATTTGTCGACCAGATGCATTTGTTCAGTCGTCAATCCTCAGTTCTAATCGGGTGAATTCCCGTTGGCTGAGTAAAACTTGGGCCCTCGAGCAGAGGGTGTCATTTGGGTGTTTATCGTTGAGTTGGTTTCGATGATCTCTGGCGAGCGTAAACCGATCTATCCTCTGAGCTGCCAGATCATTTTTTTGGCAGGCTCACCTTTGCCTCATCATTCTTTCTTAGGCCGTAAGATTGCCTTGAGATTCGTGCTGACACATTTTTGTGTACATATATATTTTTTTGATTATTTTGTTTCTTGAAAGTTATGCAGCGATAAAAACAAGAAAATTTAATGCAAAAAAGTGAGCAGTATCGATGATTACTTAATAATACAATAATTGAAGTTTCCTTAAATTTCATGCTCGTTTTTTCTTAGGCCGTAAGATTGCCTTGAGATTCGTGCAGGCATAGTTTTGTGTACATATATATTTTTCTGATTATTTTGTTTCTTGAAAATTATGCTGCGATAAAAACAAGAAAATTTAATGCAAAAAAGTAAGCAGTATCCATGATTTCTTAATGATACAATAATTGAACTCTCCTTAAATTTCATGCTCGTGATTCCTACAAATAGGGAGTAAGGGAAGCGTTTTCTTCTTCTTCCCTTGATTTTCTTGATTCTGATCTGTCTGAATTCCAATCAGCAACATGGTAAACGAGCCTTTCTAAAGACAAAAAGTACAATAAACCTGCCTATCAAAGGACCTTCAAGGATACGAGGTCAGAAACTGAATCCCACCTAGAGGGTGATCGGAGGTCAAAGGCATTGTTGGGTTTACTCACCTTAATCCCAACTAAGAGTAAACCCAACAGGCGTTGGTGAAGAGGAGAAAGGGATTCGATCGGTCACCCCCATGAGAAAGTGCAGGCGGAGGAAGGTGGTCGTCTGAAGGAATGGAAGGTCAATTCGTATGCTCTTTCTCAGACTCTAGTGCCACCGTCTAAGGGAGTACTGCAAGAAACGGTTGGTGTTTTGTCACCGCACGGGGCGCCAGATGTGGCTGCTGAGGCAATCGTGCGAAAGGTTGTTGGTTCCTTGTAGTCGCCGATCTCCCTCTACCAGCTGAAAGATAGAGGACTGGAGTGGAAGGTGTCTCTTTACAACGTTGAAATTGGACTAGATCATGGGCATGGAGGGCGTGCTTTCCTTGGATAAAGTTTCTCTTTTTCTGAAGCATTCTTTATATTATCTTTTGATGCAACCGACTCAATCACCAGAGTGGTGATCTTTGACTACCCTTCAGTGGAGGCGGGCATTGCTCTAGTTGCCAAGATTTCAATGGACCGAGGGTCTGTCAACGGTGCTCCGCGCCAAGCCGAGGCTGGGAGTAGCAGCTTGATCCCCCAAAGGAGGTCCAAGTGGATGTAGCTTGTAGACCAGAATCTCTCGGCTCGATGTAACGTCGACTGCGCAAAATAGAAGTTTGGTTCATTTGAGTGGCTAGTTTTCCTTAGGCCAGCGAGATGCGCTTGTTGATTGAGTGAGTAAATAAGCCGGAGATGTTGGAGGAAGAGGTGGCCATGATTCGTGCTTGGGAGGTTGCACTTTATGAGGAAGTACCAACCTTTCAGGTAGAGTTCTTGGCCGTTTGGGAGGCTTATTTAGCCGCCCTGATTCAAGCTTAAATAGATAGAGTAGATAAGTTTAGATTAGGCGATGAACTTTTGTATAAGTGACTGTTTCAGTGAGGTGATGTCTCGGTTGGAACAGCTGCCGATAGTCTTATAAAGTATTTTTTAGAGTAGGCACCTTGTGGTTGATGTGAATAATTTTATTATGAAATGAATTTTAAATTCTCTATCTTGATTTGTGTCTTTGATATGACTCCCTTTCCTCGGTTTGAATGGCAAATGACATTGTTCCCTTGCGACGGTTCGATTTTTTTTCCTTCATAAATAAGACTGAAGGTGTAGGAACCCTCGCGCGACTTCTGTTTTCTGTAGTTCTCTTTGTCAGTTCTTTCTCTCGGTTGCTTCTTTCTTCAACTCGGTTATCATGGCACCCAAGTATTCCCAAGAGTTCTTCGGCTCCATCCTGGCCGGAGAAGTATCCACTTTGTCAACACGCCAAGTGGAGTTGCTCCAGGAGTCTTGTGTGTATGGCAAGTCGGTGGTCTTGCAGGCGATCGAAAATGCTGACCGAGTGACCGAAAATTATGACAAAGTTTTGGTTTTCTACCTGAACCAGTTCAAGTTTTGATTGAGATTGCTTTTTTGCCAGAAGTTGCGGGCCGTTCTTAGCCGCTGAGGTATCATCCTCGTGTAGATCATGTCCAATTCTATCTCAACCATAATGATGTTTGTTATTTTCCTCTGGTGGTTGGCTATCCCGTGGTCGATCAACCTCTTCTCCGACTTCAACTTCATGATTGGTCAGGATGGCTATACGGTGTTCTTGATGGGCTCTAGATTCCGGCTTGAGGGACTTGTGAACAAGATTAAGGATTGGAGGCTGAGGTTTCTTGTTGGTTCCTGGCGAGGAGGCTGTGGGATCAATGTCTGACTTGGTACAATTGCTTCTAAGAAGATCAAGTTCCTACCGGGATCCCTGAAGATGTACGGAGACATGATCGAGAGTCAAGAGTTGTCTTTGCACCAACACCTGAACTCCTACATTCTGAACCAGGTTCTGTGGCTGTCAAAGTTCGATGACATGATTGATGAGTTGTTGGAGGCCTCCGATGCTTTGGAGGCAAAGCAGAAGGAGGAAGTTGTTGCGAAAGGGGCCAAAAAAAGTCGATGGCGTGGGTCCGCTCACTGGCGGCTGCTTCTCCTTGACTGTCAATGTCGTAGGCTCCTGTCAAATCTCACACAAAAGGCAAGAAGCTCATTATTTTTATTTCAAAATTTGCTAGTCATTTTGCATTTCCATTGGAGAGTTGTTGCTAACCGAGTGGAAGGTTTCCTTGGCAGGTGCTGGGACTTCCAGAGTTCGTCGGGAAGGCTCCTCCAAGACATCGTGTTTCTTTCAGTTGAGCATGGGGGAAAAGGAGGCGTCTCCGACCAGAGTGATAGAAGTAGCCAAGCCGCTCGACATCTCTTCCTTGACATCAGGTCAAGAGGCGAGGCGAGTCGGCTGTAACCCATTTCTTTCTCATATTCTTATACTAAGGCCAATGACAAGGCAGAGTCTGGTCACCAACAAGAAGCCACTCTCCACCTGGAGGGAAACCTCCTGCTAAGGGCGTCTGCCCGCCGCCTCCTCTGCCAAAGCATAAGGCTCTCCTCCGAGTTGGATTCCTTCCATCGAGGACACTAATGTTTGGTCGACCTCTGTCGAGTGCTTTGCCATGGTGGACATTGAGATGGACTGGTTTATGGAGACGCCCGTGGCGGCGAACTACCAGTGTCTTCTCGCAGAGATAGTTCGATCTGACTCGTTCGAGGAACCACTGACTAGGCTTGGTGGTTGTCGGCCGTTTTAATTTTGATCTTGAAAAATACAGGAAAAATATGAAAATAGTTTTAATATGAATATGATTTTTGAAAGTAACATTTTGATTCAAAAATAGGTGAGACATTTTGAATAGTTTGGGCGACTAAGCACGATACCACAAATAATACACTTATCCCGAAGAAGAAACACATCACCTGTAGTAGACTCAATCACCTAAACTAAAGAATTTGTGACATCCATTTGGTCTGCGAAATATTTTATATAAGGCCAACAAGTTTCTCTACCTAATATAAAGATTAGATAGAGTTTATTTTACCTGGGTTCCTAGTTCACAGGTTCCAAGTTCTCTATAGAGTCAAACCCCTATAGTTAATTACATCTTAAATGACCGTGGTCACTTAAAAAAACTCTCGATTATTATCAGTGGTTTTGCCTTTAAGATTTCAAAGTTTAGGTTTCCAAGATTGGACATGGGAAAATCAAATGGGAGTGGCTCAAACAGGAACAATTATTTGCAGGAATCCAAAGGAATGAAGAGTAGGGGATATCACAGATTCAGGGAAAACCCCGATGACTTCCCAACTATCCTACTGTTTAGCTTTATATCTTTGAAATGATGTTATTTAATATTTAATCCTGCAATTTATTTAGAATTTAGGACTTATATTTGTACGATATCTGATCGTGCAAATAGCCTAAAAATATAGGAGGATTTATATAGGAGGATTATAGGAGGATTTACATCGTGTCGTACAGTAACCTCGGAA